TTATGGTAATTAGCTACCTTCAAAGTTTTACGCAATTGAAAATTTTTTCACGATCATTTATTATTATTATTATTGAAACGAAAATTAATTTAAATGTCAAGTTTGTTTGTTTTTATTTTTACAAGTTCCTTGAATTTTCAGATCGATTATTTTTATTTTTTAAACAAATTAATTCAGAAAGATATAAATGTTATCTTGCAAATTTTTTTTTTCTCATATCAATATCAATGTCAATAAAATTTTTAACAGTTTTATAAAAACACTTTGAAGGATTTTTTTTTATATAAACATAAGCGAATTTAAATTATTTACATGAATTTATATATATATTTTATTAATAATTAAATTTTTTTTTATTATCGTTAAAATTACATTCATTCAGGCATTAATCTAACATATTCTTCTTCGTTTAAAACTTTATAATCTTCTTTTTTATAAAACATAACATTATTTATTCTTTGTTGTTCGACAAAATTATAAACCATTTTATATACGGGTGGTAAATTACCAATATTTACTAATTTACCCAAATCTTCAAAATATTCCCATTGTAAGGGACCCATTTTATGTGCGTGTTTGGGTGGCATTTTCATTTCGACTATTCTCTTATTGTAATCTTTTTCCGATTCTTCTTTCATTTTTTTCTTATCCGGTAATTTAACAACTTTTCCTTCCAAACATTTCAGGTAATATAAAACCTATCGATATTAAATTATTTATCATTGTTTACATAATTTGTTCTTTGTTGATCATTTTTACAAGACTTACTTGGTAATGAAAAAATGGAAATGGTAAAACCGTGAACGGCAAACCGACAAAACAAAGTTCTGGATAATCCATGTGAATTAAATGTTTGTACAATGGTGTCACTCTATTCCCTGATATTTTCACTTTGCAATTTTCCGTCAAAAATGGAAAATCATACTGATAACCTAATCGCATTAAAAACCAAAACACAATAATAAATTTTCTTTTTTTTTTTTTGCAAATGAATAAAATGTGTAAATGTGTTAATATTTGCCTGTGCAATATAATAAAACATCTGCTTTTATAAATGAATCATCTAAAAAATAAAAACCATCTTCTGTAGCTAATTTGATTCCTGGTTTTTGTATTATATTTTCTGGTAACTCACTAGAATGTTTTGCATGATTGTGACTTAAATATATCTAAATGAAGATAAAATAATAAATCATTTGAATAATCTTTACATCATTTTAGTAATTTATATGATTTGTTTAAAAGCGGTTAAAATACCTGTTTAGCAAACTTTGAAACTTCAATGGCAATGTCCATTCCTGATGAACCTGCACCTAATACAACAATTGTTTTGCCTTTGTAAATTTCCGGTTCTCTATAAGAATGACTGTGTGTTTGAATACCCTTAAAATCATTTATGTTTTCTATTTGTGGAATGTTGGGAACAGAGAAATGCCTGAAAAAACATTTCATATTTTAATAAATTAAAGTTTTTTGAGATTTTTAAAATCATGTGTGTAAATGAAATAGCGCACCCATTGCACACCATAATACCATCGAATTCGTATTCGGTATCGACTCCGGTTTCTAAATTGGTTACATTTACTTTCCAAATTCTTTTATTTCCTTGTATTTCTTTCGGCTCAATAGATTTAACTCTCGAACGAAACTGAAAATGTTTTAAATCGAATTAATTAAAAAAATTCAGATAGATAGATAGATAGATAGATAGATGTCCACTTAAATATTATGCAACGTTATTTGAAAATGAAACTCCAAATGAACGGTTTCGATCATTTCTTCCGTGATACTTTCACATAATTTTTTTTAATTTAATTATGAAAACATTGTGTAAGATATAAATATATATATTTTTTTTAACTAAAAATTAAATATAATAATTAAAGTTATAAAAAATAATAAGTATTGCCGCCACCGCCAGTTAAAAAAAAAAAGGCGGGATTTTTACTTTTCCCTCTTGCGGCGAAATTTAAAATTACCTTTATGTTGTCTCTTAATCTATGCTCTTTTGCATAATTTTTTAAATATTCCAAAACTTGAGTATGATGAGTAAATGATTTACCGTCATTTGTAAATGGAAAATCTGGATATCCCATTATTTCCTTAGGGACGTTAGTCCTAAAATTAAAAACGATTATAAATCATAATAAGTAAGTTAATTGGTAAATGAAATAATTTCGACTGGATATCCACGATATGATAACTTACCGTAAGTTTTTATACATGCTTGAGTGTATTGGAACATTATATTCATCTAATCCGGTTTTGTCGTTATAATTCCAGGTTCCTCCTACATCTGAAGTTTGTTCGAATATAACAAAATGATACTTTTCCGGAAAATAAATCATATGTCGACCCGCACATAATCCTGCGGCTCCTGCTCCAATTACACAAATTCGCATTTGCATTTTTATTTCTGATTGTAAAACAGTTAAATCAATTATATATTATTTTTTATTATATTTATATTCCGGATAAATTTATCTTTGTAAAAAAAAAAATACTTACGTTTAAAAATTTTTATTTTTGTTCCAAAAAGTTTTGAACCTATTATGGCGACAAGTAGTTGCAGACTAAACGTAATGGCACTCTGATAAAAAAACTTATAGTATCAACGTAAATACACTTGTTAAGTTAAATATAACGGATAAATTATAAATCTAGTTTTTTTTTTTTTTTTGTAAGTTATATTTCCTAGAACTTGTTTACTTTTGTACGAACGTAAAACGGTTTTATTCGTTCATAAAATATTTCTTTATAAAAAAGAAGTCGGATCATAGTGAAACCTACTATTTATAAATAAAAAAAAATTAGAACCTGTTCAAATTAGAACCTTGATGGAAGAATTATTTTGCCCTGAAAGTTATTTTATTAAGGAAAGAATAAAAAGGTCATTTCAAAATTTATTTAATTTATTTATAAAATATTCTCCAGGTCTGTGTTCAACGTAAATATACCGGTCCTTCAAATCTCTTTATATTCCAAGAAAAAAAAAAAAAAAAAAATATTAAAAAAAGCTTCTTCTCCTCTTACCTCGTTAAAGAAAACCTTATGATATCTTTTTATTTTTTGTACTTGAAAAACAAAACAGTGCTTAATCAAAATTTAACCTTCAAAATTATTATTAACTAAATATTAACAATTATAACTGCATATTCATTATATATATGTAGCCTCATTAAATGTTAAATAGTGATAAACAAATAAATATTTTTGTACCAAATTAAATTTTAATACTGATAGTTTTGTATTTGCTAATTAAGAAATAATTCCTAACAAAATTATTACTGTTAATTATTATAATATATAAAGATTTTTAAGTTCATTCTGGATTTAACTGACTCACTCATTTTTTATCATTGTTTTAGGGCATTTATTATTATCATTAACTTGCTGTAAAAAAATAAAAGAAATTGTGCAAACTGAATAATCTGAAATCGGCTGAAGCAATTTTGTAAGAGAATTTTTAATATCTCGTAATGCAAGTTTCTTGTCAAAAAATTTTTTCTTTTTGTTGTACTCAGTATTGAAGTGTTTTTTGTAATATTCATTTCTGTAGGAAGAATAATTCTTTGTATTTATATTTTATATCTATGAAGAAGTTTTTTAACTGTATGTTGCTTTAAAGGATTAATATTAAATTTGAGTATTGTTAAAATTTTGGTGTGTAGATTCATTTGTAAAATTTTCCAAACAAATCTAGCCATTTTTTAGTTTTCTTTTATAATTACCTAAGTATTTAATAATTTATGTAAATAAATCTCTTCTTAGTGGCTTTTTAAGCAAATTTATACCAGTTTATGCTTGTTTCAATAAATTACATTAGTTTGTTAAAAAATTTTTTCGGAATTAAATTTTATAGGATTAATATCGTTTAACTAATTTATCCCATAATTATTTATATGAAAAGTTTACTTAAATTAGGAGTACTTTAATTTTTGATATTTATACTTTGAACTACTTAATAATAATAATAACTTACCTATAAATAAAAAAAAGTTTTAGAAAGGAAAATAAGAAAAAAAATTAAATTTATATTAATAATTTAATAATATTTTTAATTTTTTTTTTTTACAAGATCTCCTTTTAAAGAACATCTACTAAACTTAATTGGATTATTTTTAAACTACAGAATTCAAAATTTCTGTGTATTTTTTAACTTTAGAAGCAATACTCATATCTACATATTTATCTCCGATTGAAACAATTAAACCACCGAGTATTGACGGATCAACTTTTGAAGTTAAAAGAACAGTTTTTTTGCCAGCAAACTTTTGTAAAGCAGCAGTAACATCTTTTAATTGAGCCTCGTTTAATGGCTGAAAAATAAGTCAATGGAAAATTAGGGCAAAAATTAAAAAAAAAAATCTATTAGAATTTTATTTGGAAAAAATTTCAAACCTTAGCAGAGACTACTTCACATGGAATTTCGCCTTTATGTGCAGCCATAACTGTTTTGAAAGAATTCATGATCATATTAAAATCTTTTAATCTACCATTTTCTGCGATGAGAGTAAGAGCATTTGTTGAAGTTTTAGTGAAAGACATTTTTTCAGCTATGCTTTTTAAAGAAGTTGCTTTCATGCTCTTTTTAATTGTAGGATCTTTCAATATTTGACTCAATTTTAAGTCTGTATTGAATGCATCTTGAAACTTTTTTAAATCGGCTTCTACTTTATCAATTTCTTTGGCTTTGACACCAGCAGAATAAACGGCTGCGGCATAACGTCCTCCAACACCAAAAACAGGTATTGGAGTCTAAAAAAATAAAATTAATAAATATGCTCTAATTTAAGATTAAAAAAAAAATGAAAGACTTTAATACTGATTTTTTCATTTTAAGACAACTACCTTAACTAGTTGATTTTGAGCTCCAGATGAGCTGAATGACCTAGCCTGAAATTAATAAATAATGAAAATTAATAAAATATTTTTAAAAATTAATTTAAGCAGTGTTATTAAAAAAAATTTCAAAATCGTGTTTTATAATTTAAAAATAAACAGAAAAAAAGTGTGATATTTCAATATTCGAGAATTGAAGTTTATATTTTTTTATTTTTAAATTAAATACAACAATTTTAACATAATTAATATAATTAAAAAAGAATCAAATCTTACTATAATAGAAAGTTTGCAAGCAGCCATTTTGTGAAAAATTATCGATAGGAAAAAAGGTAAAATAGCCCAGGATATAAATTTAAATTTTTTTCGACAAATTTCCCTAAATAATGAATTACATCATAAATGATAACGTTACTTTAAATTATTTAAAAATAAATACCATAATGTATCAAAATTAAATTATAAATTCTTTTAACTAAAATGTTTTTCCCTTTTTCACTTTTATTTGAAAAAAAAAAGATTTTTTTAAAAATATATTTAAACCGACCTTTTCTAATTATTTAATAAATTTTAAAGTATAAATAAATAAGGGAAAAATTTAAAGTTTAATAACTTTAAAAATAAGTTCAAATAACTTAAAAGTTTTAATTTTTTTTAAATTACATAAAAATTTTAATAAATATTTTAAAAACTCATAATTTTTTATTTTTAAAAAAAGTCGGGTTCAAGTTACAAAAATTTTTCTAAAAGGAGCATAGAGCAAAACAATTTTTTTTTAATTTAATATTTTTATTAAGGATGACTTTAATCGTTTTTAATAATTGACTTATATTATTTAATTAATTCCTTTAATTATCCTCTTATAATTTTTAAAAAAAAAATTTTTTTAATTATTTCAAAATTTTCTATGAGCAAATTAATTTCTATTATTGCTCCTTGAGATTTCTGATTATAATAAACACATAAAAATGGCGGATGAAACTGTGTCGAAAGTGGAATCAAATCTTCATAAGCAAGATTTATCAACACTTGTAAGTAAAATGTTATTTTACGTATTTCGAACCAAACAATAAATTTTTTCTAGTTATCGTTATGCATTCGTTAAGAAATGATTTATTGTATTTATTTTTCTTTTTAATAATGACACGTTACCACCCATATTGAAGCATGGCGGTTAATTATACATATATATATATATATGAAAAATTTTGAAAATTGATTTTAAAAGTACGAGATTTTTATTTAGCTTTTTTTATCGTGACAAAACTGCGTAAAAGAATTTTTTTCAATTTTTTTTATTATTATTTTTCTTGTTGATTCAAAAGTTTTTTATAGAGCAAAACATGATGCAACAGAGTTGAATTTTTTTAATGTTATTTTAATTCGTTTTTTTTTTATTTTATTGTATTTTAGGATGTTACAAAGTTAACTCCTCTTTCGCCAGAAGTTATCAGTAGACAAGCCACAATCAATATAGGAACAATTGGCCATGTAGCTCATGGAAAGTCTACAGTTGTGAAAGCTCTTTCTGGAGTTCAAACTGTAAGGTTTAAAAATGAATTGGAAAGAAATATTACTATTAAATTAGGTATTTATAGATTAACTAGTATAAATAACATAGTGCTTTTAGTTTTTCTCTGCTTTTTTTTTTCTTTTTCTTTTGTGTTTAAAAGTTTATTAAAATTATTTTTATTTTTTTAAGGTTATGCAAATGCCAAAATCTACAGATGTGACAATGAAAAATGTCCCAGGCCAACATGTTACATATCTGGAGGGTCATCCAAAGATGATAGCTTTCCATGCTTAAGGCCTAACTGCAAAGGATATTTTCAGTTGGTTAGACATGTTTCTTTTGTTGATTGCCCTGGTCACGACATTCTCATGGCCACTATGTTGAATGGAGCAGCTGTAATGGATGCAGCATTGTTATTGATAGGTAAGGTCAAATATTTAAATTACACAAAAAACACCACATAAATTTGTTTTTTTTCATTAAAAATTCTTAAATGATAATGTCTTTTTATAGCCGGTAATGAGCCATGTCCTCAGCCTCAAACTTCTGAACATTTGGCTGCGATAGAAATTATGAAACTTCATCATATTTTGATACTTCAAAATAAAATTGATCTTGTCAAAGAAGGTCAAGCTAAGGAGCAATATGACCAAATATTAAAATTTGTTCAAGGAACAGTCGCAGAAAATGCTCCTGTCATACCTATTTCAGCTCAGCTCAAATACAATATTGAAGTCCTTTGCGAATATGTGACGAAAAAAATTCCAATTCCTTTGAGAGATTTTTCAGCACCTCCTAGATTAATCGTTATTAGATCTTTTGATGTTAATAAACCTGGTTGTGAGGTTGAAGATTTAAAAGGTGGAGTTGCTGGTGGAAGTATTCTTCAAGGTGTTTTAAAGGTAAATAATTTGTTTTTTTGTAAATATTGTCAAATTTTTATACAAATAACAAATGATTGATAGGTTGGAATGGAAATCGAAGTACGACCTGGTGTCGTTTCAAAGGACAGTGAGGGAAAACTCACTTGCAAACCAATTTTTTCAAGAATAGTGTCACTATTCGCTGAACAAAATGAATTGCAATATGCAGTTCCTGGAGGTTTAATTGGTGTGGGTACGAAAATAGAGCCAACACTTTGCAGAGCCGATCGTTTAGTCGGTCACGTGCTTGGTGCTGTTGGATGCCTTCCACAAATATTCATTGAACTTGAAATTTCATATTACCTCTTAAAAAGGCTTTTAGGTGTTCGAGTAGAGGGAGACAAAAAAGGAGCTAGGGTAAGTCCCTAAGGATCCCTATCATCTGTTATTCTTTCGATACCCTAAAGTCATCCAGTAAGTTTAGTAATAATGATAATGATTATAAAATGATTTCAGGTGCAAAAACTATCGAGACATGAAATTTTACTTGTCAACATTGGATCCCTTTCGACGGGAGGCCGGGTTTTAGCTACAAAAGCAGATTTAGCCAAAATTAGTTTGACTAATCCAGTTTGTACAGAAATAGGAGAAAAAATTGCATTGAGTAGGAGAGTGGAAAAACATTGGAGATTGATCGGTTGGGGTCAAATACGTGGTGGGGAAACAATTAATCCAATTATCGACCACAATCCTAACAAATAAAAAAAAAAAAAAAAAAAAAAACTTATTTAATCAAAATACAGTGATTGCATATGAGAGAGAAAAAAAAAAAAAAAAAACAAATTTTTCGCCTTTGATTCAAAATTCTTAACTATAATTTTGATAGAATAATAATAATAATAATAATAATAAAATGTTTTTATACTATAATAATTTTTCTATATATAAAACGCAAAAAAAAATCGTTTAAATTATTCGAAAAAGAAAGAGTATATACATTTTTGCTCCAGTTATAGTAATTTTTATATTTATAAAATATGTGAATCACGTGTTTTTTCTTTTTTTTTTTTTTTTTAATCACGTTCATTTAATTATTATTATTATCAAGTAATTTAAAAAATGAAAAAAAGAAAGGAAAGAAAAGGAAAAAAAAAAAAACAATTTTTTTAATCAATGGTACGATGGTTTTTATTTATTAATTTTTAAAGTAACGGTTTTTTAAAACTTCTTATTAATAATAATTAATAATTATTATTATTATTAATTAAACAATTATCTACCTGTTCAGTTTTAAAATAATAATAATAATTAAAAAGAAAAAGGTTTCATTTTGTTATTATTATTATTTTAAAACGATGATTTTTAAATTTTAATGATAATAAATAAAGAAAAAAAATACCTCTTGCAAAATTTTTTTAAATTTAATTTTTATTATTATTATTATTATTATTATTATTATTAACATTTATAAATTACAGACAACAACAGTAACAACAGCAAAAACAATAATTTTTTCACATATAAAAAACTGCATCGATCAACGACGAATCGATAAAAAAAAAAAAAAAAAAATTTAAATTGTTCGTTTTATGGTGTAAACATAATCAAGAAATTTGACATTCGTCTTCCCAATTGGTTGGTACCAATGGTTTCGTTATCGTTATGAAGTCTTTTAATTTACACTCGTCTTCGCCGCATTGAGGTATCCTTAAATCAACAGGATCCGTTTGTTCGGTGTTGTTCAGGTACAATAACTAAAAATTTAATTATTAATTTTTACATCTAAATAACTAATTCTTATTCTTATTTCTAACGAATAATAAGAAGATTGTATATACCTTGACAAAATGATCGCCATCCGTTAATTTTTGATGCAATTCGAATATAATTGAAGAACCGTAATCAGGTTTATCGATATCTTCGATACCTAAAGCTCTTAAAACGGATATTAGCGTAACATCGTGACTCGAATACAAATAAATTTTTTTTGACGGTTGTTTCAAACCTAAAATCCTCTGCGACATGTGTTGGACAACTTCTTTTATCAACGGTCCACCTTTGAGTTTTTTACTTATGGGGGTAAACGTTAACGATGCCAAATTCAACATGGCTAATTCTTTCATTTTGTTAAAATATTTTTTCGTCCAATCAGGTAATTTTAATTTCATTTTATCCTAATAATAATAATAAATAAACTTTATTATTTCATTAATAAGATGATGATGATGATGATGATGATGATCATTTACCTCAACTTCTAATGTGTTAAATAAACTTTCAACGGCTGTCAGACTATTTATTTGACTACCGGTATGTTTCGTTAAATATTTATATAAATCATTATTATCTTCATTTATTTTTATAAAAAATTCGTTGTAATATGTTTCGTTTAATTCTTTATCATACATTGGACAGGGTTTTTTAACAACAATCAACTGAAACAATAGAAAAATAATGATGATAATGTTGATTGATACAGACACACAGAGAGAGATTTTTCTGTGATGTATTTTAACACGATAAATATTTACTTTATCTAAATTTCTAGGTATCGTATGTACAGGTATCGGTTGCCAATTAATATCATCATTCCAAATTTGATCTTCAATCGGTGGATAAAGACCAGCCAGACAAACTTGTGCGCTCATTAAACATCTATCGTGATCGCTGCTAAATGTATACAAATCATCCTGATAATATTTATCACTTATAAAACCCTGATAACGTCGCCTGAGAAATTTTCCCAATTTGTACATTTGTTTTTTACCCTCCTGATAACAAAACATGATCACGTGTACGGTGTTCGTTATCAATGTCACAAATTCAACTTTTTTTTTCGTTTATTTATTTACCTTTGTCAAAGCTCCTAATCCATCCGGCCAATAACTTAAATCCTTATATGGATCATTTGGATAAAAATGCGTTGGATTTCTATCACCGTGCCTGAAAATCTATAAAATAATAATAATAATATTAATTATTATCACTCTTTTGTCTCGAACCTTCTATTTTAAAACAAACGTGAAATATATGATCACAGGTAATAAAAATATATATTTAACCTTGGATTGAATAATGTTGTATTATTATTATTATTAAGTTCACATGATCTTCAACACATTCTTTCTTTCGATTAATTATTATTATTATTATTATTACTTATAGTTACAAAAAATGAACATTTTCACGCTGGCATATGTCCGTGAGTGTGTGTGTGTGTGTGTGGGTGGGTGGATGTGTGTGGTTACAAAGGATAAATTCAACTTACGACACTGATCAATTGAAGAGTTCGAGGGCCGTTGGATTGTTGTCCAAAACCAAATGCAAAACATGATATTAATATAAACGTCGTAGCAATGGCGAAAACTCCTAAAATCGTATAAATGCTTTCTTTTTTTTTATACCATTTAACGGAACCCGCTCTGGGCATTTTAATTACATGTACGTATTCTACACGATGATGATGATGATGATGATTATTATTAAGATTAATATCTTATATATTAAAATTACGATTACTACAATAAATAATAGTAATAATAATACATTGTAAAACGCAACACCACATAATACGAAATTGATTAATAACCAAAAAAATAACAATTTTTTTTTTTTTTTTTTAATTAATCAACCGTCACGTATTGTTATCATTAACAAACTAATATGCGTATAAGATAAATGAAAGTGACATTGCATTCAAATTAATTCACTCTTTTTTTTTTTTAAAACATTTTAAATTTTAAAATTCTTAATTCAATATCACTACCATTATTATTATTATTATTATTACTAGTGTTATTATTAAAAAAATAACGTTTAGCTTGCCAATACACGATTAATATTGATTGACCTCGTTTCAAACTCAGGTACGCATAGGTTTATATATAAATGCATTTTTATACCTGTTTTACAACCGGAGAGATTTTTAAACCACGTCGTCGTCTTCTACTATTATTATTATTATTATTATTATTATTATTATTATTATTATTATTATTATTATTATTATTATTTATGAGTTTATCGTTATTTTAAAACGGTTATGAGAAGTTATTATGTTATTTAAAACGATTTTTCCTTTGATTTTCGTATTAATAATGATAATAATGGTAATTACGAAAAAGTTAAAGTTTTTTTTTTTTTTTTTAATAGATTAATAAACAATTGTTTATTGTAAAAAAAATTATTATTTATTAATACAGGTATTTATAAAAAAAAAAAAAAAAAAAAAAACGGTACAAAAGATATTGTTTGTGTTAAATTTACTGGTTGTTTTTTTTAAATTCACTTTTTAATACTTATTATTATTATTATTAATATTGATTTTAACGTTCGGTTTTAATTTAATTTATTAACGCGTTAGATGGTATAATAATAATAATAATAATAATAATTTCTTTTTTTTTTAATGGATTTTTTCATAAATTGCATAATGCATTAAAAAAAAAAACAAAACTCGGTCTGAATTACATTTGTAAATTGTGTAAATTATATTAAAGTTCATTGACCTCTCACGATGATAGTTAATGTGTGATAAAATTTTTTTTTTTTTTTTTTTTGTTTTTACATCGAAGGAAGTTACTTGATTAAATAACACAAAAAATATGTTTGTTTGTGGATTCAAGATTGTGATTCATCATTTTGTTTTTCTTCATTAAAAGGATCGTAATTTTCAAGTTTCACAATGTTCCAACTAACATCCCAAAGTTTTTTAGCCATTTCCATATCCGATGCTTTACTCCACGGTGTGACAGCTTTACAATTACTATAATATAATCCCGTTTCTTGTCCCGCTTTTTCATCAAGTGCACAATAGATTTGAGTTCGACTTCCATCTTCTACGTTTTTCATAAAAAAACCTAATAACACCCTGTAACATTTTTGAAATCCCGAAAATACCAATGTATCCATGTGACGTCCCAAATCCGTTTTGACAACTCCCGGATGAACTGCATAGACTTTAACATCTCTTTCACCCAATCTTCTAGCAAGTTCTTTTGTGAATAAAATATTTGCTAATTTGCTTCTACCGTAAGCACTTATAGGCGAATAAGAATTGTCTAAATTAATATCATCCAATATCATATTTCCAGCTGTGAAAAAATGATATTATTATTATTCTCTCTCTTTTTTTTTTGGAGGGGAGGGGAGGGGAGGGGAAACCAATCACAGACTATATTTTTCAATTATAAGATTATTTTAACCCAAAATTACCCATGTAAGCCGCTGATGATACATTAACGATTCTAGCCGGTGCTGAATTTATTATTCTGGGCAAGAGTAAAAGAGTTAGTAGAAAATGTCCCAAATGATTTGTTGCAAATTGCATTTCATAACCATCTTCTGATAGAGATTTTGGACAAGCCATAACACCTGAAACATCATATCAATTATTATTATTATTATTATTACTGTAAATGTTTAAACATTCTTTTACACTTTCCTTATTCATTCCTTTCATTTTAACCGTTAGTTTCTACATGAATGATTTTCTTCTTCTTTTTAATATATTTATACAAATTTTGACCATGAGCCACCACCAAATATATAAAAACAGTACAAATTTAAAATTTTAAATATTCATAATCATTTTTAACATTCCAACCTGCATTGTTAATCAAAAAATGAATTGATTTTTCTTTTTTCAATATTGTATTTGAAAATTCTCTGACTGATTTAAATGAAGCCAAATCTAATTTTTCCACAATCAAAGAACCCAAATTTTCAACATTTTTCAATTCATTTTCCATATCATCTTTTGCCTTTTCTGCTTTTCCAACATCTCTGCAAGCCATTATAACCCTGCAACCTAAAAATATTCAAATAATTATTATTATTAATAAATGTGTTAGGTGTATTTATTAAAAAAAAATTACCTCTTTTATAAAAATCAAATGCATTATATTTTCCTATTCCTGTATTACATCCAGTTATAATTGCTGTTTTACCATCAAGTCTTATATTTGATGTCCATTTTTGTCCAAAAAGTCCCATTTTCTATGGGCAAAACAGAAAAAAAAATTTTTTTGCCTTTAATTATTTCATTAATTTTTTGTAAAGTTTAGTTATTTAAGTATAAAAATGTTTACACTAAAAAATATACCTGAAAAGCTGGCACAATTTTATAGTGCCACATATTTATTAAATAACAATCAAATATAAATATTTCATTTTATTTATATTTAAAAAAAAAAAAACCCACCAGTCTTTAAATACGGCGAATACGTTGTTCAATTTTAATTTGTAATGGCGGCTAATTCTTAAATCTGCCCTACTCTTCTTGAACCTGAACCTGAAATTTTTTTCTTTTTATAAGACGAAGTCTCTGTAAACTTGTTTTCCTTGATAACTCTCGTTTTTGTTAAATGAAAAGAAAAATACTCTGAGAAATCAAGATCTGTAATTATTTATTATGTTTTTGAGAATTATGTAAATGACACAAAACGGTTATTAAAAATTTGGTTTTTTTTTTTTTTTCAAAAAGGTTTTATAAACAAAAAAAAAGATTATTACTTACGTACAAAATGGTTTTTTAAATTATTATTAATTAAAATACTGTTTTTTTTTTTTTTTTTTTTTGTTTCACTTGCAACGTTCTATTTTCGTAGAGTAATGATAACTGAATTTTGAACACTCTGGTCACACTACGCAATTCACGTAAACATTAACCGTTATTTTTTTTTGAATTTCATTCCGGAACGTTTTTGTTTTCTTTTTCAAAATATTGATTGCGCAATCGTTTATTTCAAAACTTAATTTATTTTTTTTATCTGTTTTATATTTGGTTTCAAATTTCAAACTAAAATTATAAATAAAAAATATTTAATTAAATGATATCATATGATTAATATGTTTTAAAATAAATCATTTGTTTTTTAAAATAAAAAAAAATAACTAATCAAGATAATTTTTTTTCCCCTTGACAAAATACATTTTAAAAAAATCTTCTTTTTTTAAATAAATAAATAAAAATATCGCGATAAATAATGATTACACACTGATGACATAATAAAAAAAATTATTTTTGTTTATTTTACAACTTGTCTAACTTTTTTTTTACAATCAGTAAAAAATTGATGAAATTCTTGAAATTTTTGGATAATAAAAGCTTCACATATGGAAAACGTATGTAAACATAAATAAACCAAAAAGAAAATCGAATTCGAATATATATATATATATTGTAAAACATTTCATAATAATACAAATATTTATATAAAAAAAAAAAAACTTTTAGAAAAAACTTATAAACATTTTAATTACTCGTATATAAAAAATTTTAAATTAATTTTAATTCGTTATTAAAATCATAATAATACGTCATTCGTTCTTTAATTATACATTTAAAATGCAATTTCATAAAAAATAAAAATTTTAATTTAAAAAGAGATCATTTTTAATATTATAAAAAATATATTAAATAAAAACACACAATCAACCGTTTTTATCCGATAATGGAGTCGTTATCGAAAAAGCATTTTCTTCGGACGATTGGTGTTTCAAACACGATTTTTTACCATTTTTTAAACGCCATTTTTTCCTATTCAAACCCGTGAGTGTTTTCACTTCGTGGATTTCCCTTGAATTTCGCGGTGATCGTGATACGATTTCGTCTGTTGCACTAGATGACGGCAAAACATCGGAAAATATGTTCGTATACAATGTTTTATTACTTTGAGCTGGTGAATTTATGTCTTTTTCACTGCACAGCCTAAATATGTGTTTGTAAGAAAACTGTCCGAAACCTTTGAGCGGACCGAAAACACTTAAAAGTGACATGAGAAATATTGTGGAGTAAAACCAACTGGACGTCATCAATATTAATAAAAATACTCCGATCTAAAATTAATTATTAAAATTTTAAATAAATCAATCTCAATCGACTTGATTGCGTGAAAACAACTCAAATGTTTTCCTCACTTGAATGTAAGCTAAAACCGAAGATGGGAGCATGAAAAACCCCGCGGCTCCGGTCGTGAGAGCAGCCATGAAAGTTGGACCAATCATTTTATTAAGCGTGAATTCAACTGCTGACTTCCTGTCATTGTCTATCGAAAGTCCATAATGAATCCCGTAATGAAGACTAAAATCCACTGCGAGTCCGATAGCCGTGGTAACAGCAATCGATTCTAACACGTTCAATCTCCAACCGATCAACACCAAAAATCCAACCTGAAATCAATTTCCATCATTTTAAAAAAGAAATCTACTTTTTTTTTAAATCAAATGGAAAATCCTAAATAAATAAAAACTCACCGTCACGAAAATAATACAAGAAATCGTAATGACGGTGTATATGCTAATCAGTAAATTTAAACTAACGAAAAAAAATACGGTCAATGCGATCATCATGGACACTCCGATTGCCACGGAAGTACCATTCGATAAAGCTAATTGGAGATCGTAGAAACCCAAATGGCTGATAAACCATCCGTTCTTCATTCCACGTGGTGCACCCTCCAACTGTTTTTGAAACCAATCTTCTACTTCGGTGTAAAAGGCGTGCATGTCGGTGAAGGACAAAGAATTGGAATAATTACTGTCATATTCGACCACCACGACTTTAATTTCCCCGCTGAAATATATGAAAAATACTACTTTATCACTCGTGACACTTATGGCGTTCTTAAACAAATTGTTCGAACGGGTTTCTCACCTGGACGTTTTAGAAAACTTGGGTCCAGCCACTCCGGGAAGAAAATAATCGGAAGGTGTTTCGTATAAACTACCGATCGCTTCTTTAATGCACTTTTTAAAAGTTTCACGCTCGAACGGAAATAAAGATGATTCACAACATGGAGTACGATCTATGTTGTCTATGGAATCTTTGCAACGTCTTTGCATCCAATTTTTAAATGATTCAATAAAACAATTTGGCAACAATGGCCCATGGGTTGATTGATAAAACGGTTGAGTTCGAAGATGACGACAGAAATCAAGTAGCCAAGCCTTACGGGTATAAAAATTTTTTTAAAAATTTCAGGATGCTAAATTTAAAGTATTTAATATTAGTTATTGAATTTGAGTCGTAATTACTTGAGATTCCGGATCCGCCATGTCGAATGTCGGATCGAATTCCAACGTGCCTTTAGAATTGGGTTCGAAATAATTTCCATTGTCGACGGGATGTATGCCCCATACGAATCTCAACGGTAATTTAAAATTACTATTATCCCATCCAGTTACCTATATATATTCAGGATGATGTTTGAATGCATCATAACATGGCTTATTCAAAAACAAAAGTCTGTACATACCCTTTCCAGTCTTTCGAACCAAAATTTATCTTTATATACAAAATCGTATTTTTCAAATAAATGACTAGATTGAAACAAATGAAAATTTTTTGAATCCGGAAGTCTCAATTTTGGATGATATAAAACAATTACAGAACTTCCAATAGCAATGGCGGAAAATATTATTAGCCACAGCCATCTAAGGCGAAATATTAACGTTATCAACGATTTTTCAATGGTGGCTTTAACCTGGAAATCAAATGAAATTTATTTAAATTCAACATGTGATTAATTTTTTTTGTCTCTTGCAATATTATAAAAGACTTACCTGATATAAATATTTGTTAGCCGTTTGAAATTGATTGAAAAAATTAGGCTGGCATTGACACAATACCGAGGGAAATAAATTTTTTTGTGAAATCACAAAACAAGCAGGTAACCATGTAACGGTCAGTAAAAAATTTACTAAGACTGCAGTTCCAGCGAATACGCTAAATAATCAAATGATAAATTTAAATTATATTAAAAATTTGAATAATAATCTTTCTTTTTAACTATCATCATCATCATCATCATCATCATCATCATTAATTTACCTGAAACAATTAATGGCTGTGATAGAACTTACTGAGCTGGAATAAAATGCTGCCGCAGTCGTCAAAGAAGTTACAAACATGGATAGAGATGAATGCTTTAGAGTATCTGACACCAGTTTTACCAAACATGGATTTCCTTTGTCCATCTTTAAACAGTTCCATATTTTATGAAATATGAATGCATCATCGGCTCCGATACCTTGAAACAGTACAAATCAACATTATTAAAACTTTGTTTTATTTAAATCTAAGATTTTAGGAAAAAAAATAAAAATTGTCTTGTTTACCAATGGCCACTATGATTGCCAAAAGATTCATAAAAGGAAAAAATTTTATATTAAAAATAAATGTATAAATAAAGTATGATGTAATGAGAGACATAAAAACTGCCAGAAGTGTTGAAATTGTAATTACTATGGAATTAGTGTAAGTCCAAATACATAAAATCATAAAACCACCTCCTGCAACTGTCAGAAAAGCATCTCTCACGAGGCAATCATTAAAAAGTGTATTTTTTAAACCTGAAAAAAAAAAAAAAAAGTCATTAATTTTTTTTAGGTACACAAAAAGGTACGTAACGTTTTTTAAACTTTACCTAGGTCCATTGCTGAAACAAACACGGAATCATGCTTTAAAATAGAAGAAGATAAATTATAATAATAAGGCAATATGGCTGAACTTCGTGCAATGGGTAAAAAAATCATTGTGTAATTAAGAAATACATTTTCTTTTTTAATTTTGGAGTAATTTGAAGGTAAGAAATCAACATCAGTCAAGTAATATAGTATGTTGTAAACTGCATTAAATTTTTTACATTTTTTTGGAACTCCTCGACAAAGAGTTTTATCATGACAATCTGAACTCAATTGCAAATTGTTATAATATTTAGAACACTCGTATAACAATGCTTTTGTTTTCCCAACACTTTTTTCCTGAAATTATTATAAAATCAATAATTATTTTTCATACTTGTATGATATTTTAAATTTCTTTAATTTTAAAATTTATTTACTGTTATGTTAAAGCAACTGGTATGATTATACAGTAGAGCGATATAATTGGGAAGACTCCATGGATTACAACAATGGCCATGTGAAACTGTTTGACATATTGAATCCATAATTTCATTATTCATTAAATTTTCTTGAATTATGCAAATAGATTTTAATGCATCTAACGATAGCAAAGACTGCGAAGAATTAACGGTTTCTACGACCAAATGAGAATAATCTGGATCTGAAATACAAACAATGATTAAATTTATTAATTTGCTAAAATGAAAATAACATACTGTAATTAAATTTTTTTTTTAATTACTTATTACATCACAGAAAAATCCATCACTGGATAAATGATCATGCGAATGATTGTGAGCCGATTCCAAGTTGGAAAAATCTTCTTCAAAATTTTTCTCAATTTCAAAGGATTCTTCATCGTCGTTATAATTTTCTACTTTGTCATTTAACTTTTTGACCTTTCCCTAAATTTTTACAATAAAAGATACTTTATGTAAATTTAATACAAATTAAAAATTTAAAAATGAAAATAAAACCCTTACATAATTTTCTTCTTCAGAAGAAGAATTATTTAATTGAGTGTGCCATAAAAAATTACTTAGCAATTCTTTCGATGTAGAAGAATTATTGCTAGATGTATTAGTCGATTTAAAAACCGAATTGACAGCATTTGGATTTACTGTAAGAATACCAGAAGGTCTTGCGGCTTCATATAAATTTTCCCATGAAATTATTCTTTTGGCTATGATTGTTCCCCTAGTTTCAAAGCCCTGGACGATAATTTTTTTTAAAATTTCAAAACAGAAAAAATGAAAGAAATAATTACAAAAATCATACCAGTTGTGGATCAGAAAAATCCGGTTGTTTTGAACTAATTAAAGAAATAATAAGAGCAGCAACCGAAAGTGTTCCTATAGTTGATACAACCACAAAGGGATGGTTGGCTACGAATTTAAAATACCAGTTCATTTTAAATTGAAGCTACATTTTTCTCAAGTCTTTTAATGGTAAAAGAATCTCTTCTACAATAAATATAAATAAAATATCAAATTTTAAAAAAATTTATTCGTAAAAAAACTACGCATACTTACAAACTAATTAAAAGTAAACTTTTTATTATTGAAAATTAAAAAAATCATTTTAAAAAATGAATTGAAAATTTAAACTTTGCAATTAATGTAGCTCTTCAACCGCGAGTACTAACTAAACGTGGCATTAGAATTTAAAATACTTTTTTTTAACCGAGCATTTAAAACTTTCCTATTCTACCAAAAATTTTAAGAAATTAAAGAAAAGTTTAACGACAATTTTTGGAAGTACTAAAAACCGTTTAAAGCATAATAAAAGGTAATTAGAAAAGTTAGAATGTGAAGCTACATGGCTTAAGAGACATAAAAAAAATTAAAATATATTAAAACCCCCCCCCTCCATATAAGTTTTATCAAAAATTAGGATTTCATATTAATTGATGCATAATAACAGGTAACATATAAAAGTAACATAAAAAATATAAATACAGATTCATTTAATTAAATATTCAATAAAATATATGAACTTTTTAATATCATTAATTTTTTTTTGTAAAGTAAATAACTTTTATTCATCTGCGAGAACACAATAAGTTTTAATTGTTGTAAAGTTATACAGAATTAAAATTTTCATTTGATGCTGTTTAAACATTTTCATATTTTAAATGTTATTTTATTATACTGATTTTTGAGAATCAACCGAATTCCTTACAACTAAAGGATTACATACTCTAAAAATAGTAGGAAGCATTGTGGCAAGTGTGGAAAAAACTTCTGCTGAAATTCCGGAAGGTACGAGAAATTGAAGATTTATTATATCTGCACCTCCTACACCTGCAGCTTCAATCATAAATCCTTTTACACATTTGAAAACTAATTCGGCTCTTTTAGAGCACCATGCTACTGTCATACCCTGTAAATTTTAAATACAATAAAATTAAAATTATTAAAAATAAGTTTTTTATTAAAAAAAAATAATAATAATAATAATAATAACCTCTGACATTTCATTTGTCAATAATAATGGAAGAGTAATAGTGGTAATGTCATAAGATGCAGCAGTTTTTAATATGTTCCTCAAGCCTAAAATTACAGGATGCCTGGAATTTACATCACCTAAAATAATTTTAAACAAAATTTTAGTTTAATTATAATAATAAATAAATAATTTTTCAAAATTAATACATACTATTTTTTACTGAATCATCTACAAGCAAGTGAAAAACAACATGAACTTGAGAAAGATTTGAATGCTTGGTAATATATAAATCACCAGCTTGAAGACTTTTTCCTCCACTGGACATTTTAGAATTCTAAATATATACATACATATAAACTTTACAAATTTTCTATTCACAATAATTTATTACAATGAGGAAAATAAAACTTTTAGAATAAGTTATAAGATACCTGATAGCCAGAACTATTTTTCGCTTTTTCAGATCTCCATTGAACAGCATCCTTCACTTGAATTTTAATAGCTTCTAATTGACTTTCGATATTATTGAAATGAAATTCTGTAGTTTGTTGGCACACATCAACAAAGTCTTTTGCTAAACCTGCAAAGCCATCAAATGATCCAACATCGACTAATAATACAATACCACTTAAACTGCTAGAGTATAATGACAAAGCAGTTTCACTTCTTCGAGGCTCAACATGAGATACTCTAATTGAAAAAAAAATAATTTTTATTTTGTAATGAAAAAAAGAGAAAAAAATTTTTTAATTAATAATAATTACCCTTCTGGTGGAAGCTTTATTTTACAAAAATCCAAAGCATTCGCAGATAATATTCTAACATTATGCATTTGTTTCAATTGTGATCCTAAATGAATAGTGAAACTTTCTTCAAAATGAGGCCACGGTTCAGGTTGAGAACTTATACCGGAATCAAGGCTAGAATTGTCAAGGACTTTAGGAGATGTACTTGTTAAACTAAAAATTAAGATACAAAATATTATTAAAGTATACCTGAATTATGCAAGCTCACTTGTTGACAAAACATTTAATAATTGATTAAGATTTTCAAAATGTGACAATTATTAAACTCTTGTAATTTAAGTACTACATACTGTAGAGTTGGGCTTAAAGCTTCATTTTCATACATGGCCATTAACCAAGCCCTGTATTCCTTTCTTTGGCTTTGATGTAAAGCTTCAACTTCACTATTTAGCCTACCAGAAGTTAAACATTGTTCTTCGAAATGTTTTGCAGCTAAATCATTAATATCTTTTTCTGAGACCCTTATTTCAGATTCGATTGTCATAGAATGAAGATCTTGCATTGCGACAGTCATTTCATCGTTTTGTCTGAAAATATTAAATAATTTTTACACCAACTCACAATCAAAAATCAAACTTATTTATTTTAACATAAATAAAAACTTGCTTTTCTGACAATTCTTTAATTTCTTTTTTTCTTTTATGAGCCAGCGAAGTTGCAGTCGCACCATACATTTGCTCTTTTTTTAATATAGACTCTAAAGCACCAGAATGTACAAGCTTATGATAAACCATAGAAAATAATTCTTCATCTGTGGTACCTGTTGGTTCGCAATATTCAACAGTTTCATTTTTAAATAATTTTTCCCAATATTTCACAACTGAATCGACATCGAAATCATCATTTTTAAATTCTTTTAATTTTTCTTCGGCTACTTCGTCGTAATATCTTAACGTTTCCGTTTCAACGAATTTTTCAAGTTGCGAATACACATCTGAAATTTAATAAGATTCATTATAAACAAAAAATAATTTATGGAAGTGATTTTCATAAATTTCTGTCAACATTTACAAACCATCAAATAAATAATGTGGAATTTTATTATTATATAAAATTCTATAAGTAAATTCTCTTATATTTTCTTCCAGAGGTATTTTTACAGGAATTGAAAATTTTTTATTACTGAGTGATTTGACAGAACTCTTATCCTCATCAAATGTTATGTTAAACATTCTTTCACCGATCGAAACCATTTCCAATCAATAAAAAAATGAAAACGTGCAAAGCATTTATATAATTTAATCAGTTCCTGTAAATAAAATTTAACGGATTATAAAATAATTATTTACATTTAGAGTAACATGTTTACAAAAACAATTCTAACCAAATCTTGTTTAATCTAAAACCACTGATAGTAGGATAATCTATATTGACTTGAGAGCGATATTTAAACTTTTTTTTATCGTATATTGCATATTTAAAAATTCTAAATAATGAAGTAAAATGATATTTTATGATTAAGTAACAACATTTAAATTACATAAAATCATAATAATTGGTAATTAAAACCACCACATTAAATGTATGTTGCAGCCTTAACATTAACTACAAAAAATGGCAACAAAAGCTTTAAAAAAGTTTTATTTGTTATTGTTTTGTTAAAACAATTTTTTAAATGGAAATTACTAAACTTGAAAAAAATTTAGTGTAAGTAATAGATTAATATTATCAATTACTATTTTCATAATTACAAAAATAATTAATTTTTCATAAAAGTATGATGCAATCATTTTTTTGCAATGCAATCACAATAATTTAAGACCAAAATGAAAAAAACTAAAAAATTTATTATTATTATTATTATTATTATTATTATTATTATTATTATTTATTACCAATAATTATGTACCACAAATATCAAATCAATTTAACAAAAATCACAGATATACTCATGAGAAGTACTTAATTTTATTTATTTATTTTAAATTTATAAAATATAACAAACAAACGATAAAGTTTTTTTTCCCCATTCCCCCCCCCCTCTTAAATTAATTATGTATAAATAATTTTTTATTAAATTTCAATCTACTCCTTCTTATTATTAATTTTTAAAATTATTTATTTTGTAAATTAAAAATAAATTTTTCATAATCAAAATTATTTGATCGAACATTCAGATAGAAAATGAAAAAAAAAAAAAAAAAAAAAAAAAAAATTGGAAAAACAATTTTCCCGCATGAATTTTTATTAATTAACATAAAAATAAAATTTTATTTTAATTATTTATATTATTAATTATTATTTTGACAGCACATAAAAATTTTTTTGTAATTTATTTTATTTTTTTTTTTAAATATCATTTTAATATAATTTATTCTCATCTTTTTTTTCTCTTTTAATAAATGTACTAAAAAAAAAAAAAAAAAAATTCATTTTTTATAATTATCATTATTATTATTATTATTTTTATTATAAATAACAGACTTTTATAAATAATTTTTTATATTTATTTATTAGCACAAATAATAAATTATTCGAAAAATAAGAAAATATATTATTATTATTTATTTATTTATTTATTAATTTATCTAAATAAATAATATAAACTCTATATTTGAATATTTATTTTATATACATATAAAGACATCAAATGAATATTTTCTTTTTTTTTTCCTTGTAAATAATAAATAAAAATTATTTTATTTTTTTAAACAATTTAAACAAAAAAAAAAAAAAAAAACATGAAGAATATACGTGCATAATACTCTCTCTCTCTCTATTGCACTCAGATTATTATTATTATTTTCATTATGTATTCAACAAAAGTATTATGTATTATATCATATATATTAATTTGGCAAACGTTTATTTAATTAATTTTGCCAAGGCCAAATGAAAAAACATTATTACTATTTGTTTACATTTTCGGTTAATCATTTTGTGTTTTTTTTTTTTTTTTTCTTAAAAAAAATCTTATCAGTCGAACAAACAAACAACAAAAAAAAACATTATTATTATTATTATCACTTCACAAAAAAAAAAAAAAAAAAAAATTTTCCCCCTATTAAACTTTTTCAACTCGCGCGTGTAATACTAAAAGCATAACCGGAAAACTGTAAGGCGCGCAAAAAATTTAAATTTCATTTAAATATCATTATCATTATTTATTATTTATTTATTATCATCATCATTATTTCTCTTTTACGTGAACATCTAAAAGAGATCGACAGACATTATGAAATGTATATTTCATTTTATACGGATAGAAAAATATTATTAATTATAAATAAAAAAAAAAAAAAAAGTATTAATAATAATAATAATAAAACAGAGAGAAAAAAAAAAAAATCTTAATAAGGCAGCTAAATGAATTTCAAATGTTTTCCTCTTCTTTCCTTGTTTCCTAATGTTTTCTTGTTTTTTTTTTTTTTTTATACGCGATTAAGTGCCGTTATAAAAATGACACTCGTTTTTCTGTAATTGCTATTGTCTCTTCGAAGGGGGTAACAAATGATCGGGTAATTCGGATGGGATTTCGTGACCCTCCAATTTCACGTTGATCAAATGCATCGCCAAAGCGAATTCTTCGTCGTCCAAGAAACCATCCTTGTCGATGTCTGATAATTTCCATATTTTACCCAATATCGAATTGGGAAGTTTGGATTTCATCATTTCGGATTTTGCGGATGCTCCCGTTATTTTACCATCGACGGGATTCAAAGTTTCGAAAATGGCATCGAATTTGTTCTTTTCCTTGGTCACGACCCATTCGGGTTCACCGTGTCCCGCATCGATTCCTTCCCCTCTTTTATAACCGAAAGGACTCACCGTATCTTCGACTCCTTCGAATGCTCCACCTGCAACACAACACAACACAAACAAACAATCACAATTATACTCAAACATTATCATTATCAATATTTATCTATGTACAAACATACTACATATCATGTAGTATTATTATTATTATTATTATTATTTCATTGAACGCGTATATATATATACGTATCGAAGCATTTTGTCAAGCACCAGTCAACGCCTTTTAATTGACACTAATAAAGCTAAGTGAACACTAATTCAAACAGAAACAAATAATAATAATAATAATAATAATAAACTTATTTACAAAACTCAAGTTTAAAATTCAATTTCATTTTTTCATTTATTTATTTAACGGTTATTTA